ACAACCTATTGCCGATGTGGAACATTTTGATGAAAAAAGGAGACGACTCAGCTGCAATTTTGCCAATATTTATGTAATGATGTGTCTTGAGGAATTTCAGAGAACAATATTACATCAAAGAAATGACTGGCTCAAAATAAAACCCTGTGAAAAGACAACAGGGATCAGAACCGCAGTATCACATTTTCACATTTCAAACTACAAAGGGGTCGACAAGCTTCTCAAATCCTCCATAAAGGGAAATTCAAGTCCAATACCTTATGTTATAAAACGTAATTTAAGGTTAAGCTAGCAAACTGTAAATGCCCTGTTTTTCTGTCCTTCCGTCTCTCTTAACTTTTTTTCCAGGAATAACACTTATAACATACATGGTGGAAAACAGGGAAATGCTGACATGCTTCGGGTTGTTAAAGTGCAGCTGTTTTGCATTATACACTCACTTATGAGGGACAATCACTTAACACAAAAACCTTTCTCACATGTGGCACTGATGTTAGCCTTAACAATATTTTGTGTTATGGATAAAAACATAAAACAATGTTTTGAGAACAAATTTCCACTTGTGGAAAATCCAAGTATAGCGATTATCAAAGCACATGACGACAATCTCTTACTTTGGATATGGCATGTTCAAGTATGTTGTTTATGTTGAATTATCCATTGTTAAAAAGGCGGTCTTACAGGGGAAATTGTAAGTGGCCTCTTGTACAGTCTACAATAATGACTGAATAATTAGTTTTGTAATCGTTGTCAATCATAAAGATACCCATCCAAAACAGTTTATAGTACATAAAACCAGACACATTATCAAAATGTCCCAATAATCAAAATGTACTTCTGATGATTTTAAAACACAATAACATTTTAATAGAAAATAATTGCTGCATCTCATTAGCATAGGTGTGAAATAATACATTTTCGGTGAATCTCCTACCTGACATATGTATAAATATTTTTGAAATAGTGGACTTTTGAAACGTATTTACAATAATAAAGCAGGTATGAAGTCAGTCTCAGGGTAGAGGGTGCAGACAGACCATGTGTCTGATGAAATTCACACGACAGCAACAATCCTTCTGTTTTGGCAATAGCCCATAACTTTCCAAAAAGTCTCAGGTATCTGTGTCATGTCTTTCTTTATGACACCTGAAACATCCTAAGCAAGTCATTTTTAAACTTGATTTTCAAACTAGATAAATGTTACTCATTAAGTTAATAAAGTGAAATGTTACTCTCCAGTGACGTAATCAAGTTGAAGTTTAAGAAAGGGGAGTTCAGAACAGTGTTAAAATGTTACACATGCAACCAAAGTGTGGTGCATTCAAACGTTTAACACAAAACACGACAGACAAAGATCTTGCTTTTTAAAATTTTAATATTGTGTTAGGGTTATGTGTTGTAAAATCCCAACAAAAGTCAAAACCACATGCGTGTTCACTGTGTTCAATCTGGATTGCATTACAAATAAATATATCAAGACATTTATAAAAATACTTAATTTGACCAACAAATTATTAAAAGGCCTATTAAAGCCTAGCTCATTGACAAAGAAAGACTGACACTCAATATTGTACTACGCATGCGTGAACCATGGAAACCGCTACGAAAGTGCGGTTTTCGAAAACAACAAGATACATATAATACTAATGCTGCGTTCACACCGGACGCGATGCGATGTTTGGGGGGCGGCGCGATTACATGTAAAGTCAATGCAGAGACGCGGACAGACGCGAATTCGCTCCGACGGCGAGCATGAAGCGGTGGACGCGGCGCGAATCACGCGATTGAGGCGATTGAACGGTGCCACGTTAAACGCGAGAGTTCAATTTTTTCAACTCGAGCGTCAAATTCATATGACGCGTTCTCGCGGAAGCCAATCAGCGGTGAGGATCTCAGCCTGCCGTCACTGACGTTCAACCAGAAAACATCAGCCGTTAGCTATTAGCAGTTAGCACACAGAGCTCACAGCTCCTCATATCTGTTCAGAAACTGGACAAAAGTTAAACAAGTACAAACCACAGACTGTCTGTGTCATGGCGAATACAGTCGCTGCTTTATTTATGTCTGTAGGCCATTGTTATGAGTGTGGAATGAGCATATACAACGTTAGCTTAGCCTGGTCGACCCGATCTTCATTCATAAAACAAGCATTTTAAACGATTTTTCGCCTGCCGTCTTGTCTGCAGATTTGTCAAGCATTCATTCATGGTTTTTACTAACCGGTATCAGTATGTTGTGACTTCGGCATCATTTATAAACGTGTATTACAATTTAATCACGGCAAAATATGTTCATTTTGTTGTAGTTGTAGCTCCCGAGCCAGCGCGTCTTGTTTGAATGATGCGAGTAAACACAGCTGACAGCCGCGGTGAAACTTGAGCGTTTAGAGCGATGCGATAGGAGCGATAGAGCGAAGCGATGTGAACGCAGCATAACTGATTGTAAAAACTGTCAGTACTTGCCCCCGCTGTTTTATCTCACCACAGTAAATCAATAATGTTGGTAAATGCGCTTAAATTATTTGTTTATCTGGCGAACGAAAATGTATCCTGGCATAAACATTGACTGTTTATGGGCGTCACGTTCACCTTTACTGTACTGCAGCTAGCTTAAGTTAGTTAGCATTGCTAACATAACTGCGTCAGTAAAGTTTAACAAGCAGAAGCATGCTCGAAAATATGTAAACAGGACTAATGTCGTAATTTTCTGAATGAAAACAAATGAGCTATAAAGAACAGGCTCACAAATCGTGTGGAATATAACAGGTAGGCCTATGTTTTATGTTTAGCTATTCAAATGTTTGTCTGAAGCGAAACATTTACCTGTCATGCTGACACTGACAGATGTGAGCGGTTATCAGGTTCATGAGATGTTTCGCTATCCAAGACAGTTTCGCAAACATGTCACTTTTCTCCTTGTGGACAAAATAATAACACAGCTAACCCTATGGTTGGTCATACAGGTAAACCTTTACGACCTTTAACGTTTGGCCGGCGTAGCCCTGACAGTCACTTGTTAATGTTTTACATTAGGGTTAACAGTACACGAGTTAATGAGTGGTCTTTTTGTTGAGCAGAGGTGGGAGAAGTCCTCAGATCAAATACCTGAGTAAAAGTATAAGTACCAGAGTGTAGGAATACTCTGTTTCAATTAAAATACCTGCATTTCAAAGGTTTGTCAAGTAAAAGTGGAAAACTATGAGCATTAAAATATACTTAAAAGTACCAAAAGTAAAACCACTTAATGCAAATTGGTCCATTTCAGAATAATATGGTTTAGTTGATTATTGATGCATAATGTGTTTATCAAAGCTGGTAAAGGTGCAGCTAGTTTGAATGACTTTGTATAGGCTACTGCAATGTAGCTTGTGAATTTACTCCAGGTGTAACTAAAGTTTTTTTTAAGTGTTGAATATATTTAATAATAATAATAATAATAATAAATTATATTTCTTTAGCGTTTTTCTTGAACCCAAAGACGCTTTACATTATGAGGGAGGGTAGACAAACAAGGACAATATTTCACATCATTAATCCAAATCTGTAAAGTAACTTAAGGTACACATTACACAACAAATGTAGTGGAGTAAAAATACATGATTTACCTCTGAATTGCAGTGAAGTAGAAGTACAAAGTAGCATAAAAAGGAAATACTCAAGTAAAGTACAAGTATGTACTCGAGTAAATGTACTTAGTTACTTACCACATATGATGTTGAGCCTGACATGGATGGGCAATATCAAAGGAAAAATTAGTGAAGCTAAAACAGGGCTTTTTTTTTCCGTTCCTGAAAGACCTTCAAACTCTAGTATGAAGTTTTTTTGTTCCAGGTCCAACTGGGCATTTAATTAATATTTTTTTTTTAAAGAAATTAGTAAATCCCAAATCGAATCCAAACCAAAAAGGACAAAATCGTTCTTTCTTTTTTGTATTTCTTGAATAGTTTGCTATGACTAGAGCCTTTAAAGCGTTTGAATCCCAAAACTATATGTCATTAGATCTTTAAATTGAATCGTTTGAATGTTGATAATCCTTGATATTTGTATGATCTGATGGTGGCCTTAATTGTGAAAGAAAGATGATGACATACTAATTTGTCAGTGTGTTTTTATTCATGGTTCAACCTTTCTACGAATACAAATTCATTAACTTATTTTCAGATGATGGTTGTTTTGTGGTGCCTGAATATAAAATGATCTAAAATGTGACTCTTTGGTGTATAACTCATGATGTGGAGGTCTTGACATGTAATCCTACCCTCGTGCTTCCAACAGATGGCGCTGTATATTCAAAATACAGTTGAAATTGAAACAGACAATCCAAACAAGTGTATCATACAGACACTGAAGTTATCCGGCAATACATCATAATTTTGGATTCAAATACTTAATACTAACAACATTTGAATAAACATTAAACGTGCCACAGATAGCTTTGACCAAAATGTAAACTCTTTTTTCTTGTGTAAGGACGCAGGAATATTGTTTATTTTTTTCAGATCAGGGATACTTTTTAAAATTCTAATAATTCAATATTGATACAGACAATGAATGAAACCGACAATCAAACACAATAGCCCTCCCATTAGTCATCCAGTTTCAGGATAACAAAAATAGTAAATAAATCAGTGTACAAATACATACATAAATAAACGAAATTCTATATATTTTAAGAAACCTTTCCCAACTATCAGTTTTTTTCATTAATAACGTAAGACTCCTTATTGAATTATTGATACATGTTTAATTTTTATCAGTCTTACTATTAACAGATGACTTTACAGTTGAACTGAACTGTGTGTGTGTTGAGCATTGACCCTGCAGCTGTTATAGCTGTACAATGCCTTGGTGTGTGTGTGTTTTTATGTGTGTGTGGGTATGCGCGCGTGCTGAAACAGTGATGATGGTGCAGCGTGGAGCAGTTGACCTCCCCCCGGAGGAGTGGCTGACAGGAGGACGGTCCGGCAGCATGCTGAGCGCAGTCCCCGCACAATGCCTCAGACTTCCCCGAGCTGTGGAAGTAGACTTCTTTGCCTTCATGCCACCGCAGGGGTGACAACAGAGCCACACACAGAGCACCAGATCAGACCTACAGCGGTAAGTTGCTCCACCTTGAGATTTCCTGCATGTGCGAGCAGGCGTCTCGAACATAAATCACCATAATATTAAATCCTACAGCGTGCCTTGAGCGACTTTATGTCACTTTTTAATAGGTTTCATGTCATGCTTTCTGCGTGGCCTTCAGTTTTATTGAAGCAATTTATCACACTATTAAAGGGTGGCGTGTGCGTGAATGCACACCGGGAGCGCGTTTTGTTTTGGCTCAGTTGCCTGATTTATGACGCTGCTTCAAACTCATGTGTATACTATTAAGAGCCTAAACATCTGCAAAAAGTCTGATATTTTTCAGTAAAATATCCTGAAATAAACAGAGCTCACAGGACTTGCAATGGTCCACAAAGAATGTTTGCAATTTATTTGTTGTGTTTTTCAACTGTCTGTATTTTGCCCTTTTAAAATGAGACTAAATCAGATTTTTGGCAGACCCATATTTGGTCAATCTGTCACACCTGTGCTGAATGTCCTTCAGAATGTTGCTTTCTGATGGTTATATTGTGGCTTAAGAAACTTTCATTTGAGTCAAACTATTTGGTTGTGTCGAGGCTCTGAGTGTGCATTGATTCCACAGAAAGCAGAGATATGACATGTGTTTCTTTGTCAGGTCAAGCATCAGCAGCCGCTCCGGTGATCCGCTCTGTTCGGGAGATTAATCACACGCAACCTGACGAGATGAGCAGCACAAAGAAGTAAGTGACTTCAACAAGCTTTGCAGGAGTGGTGTACACGGAGCTGCTTGACATTTAATACATTGAATAATGCACACTTGGATGTAAAAGAGCACACACATCCTCTGGTGCTTAATTTAAGGAAATAGGCCTACATGATTAGATAATGATGTGAGCTTCAGTAAAAAGTGGTTCAGTAATGTGCTCTGGCTGCGTTGAAGAAGAATAGTTTCAAATATTGCTGAAACTGCTGTATTTTAAATCTGACTTGCATGTAGCTGAGAAAGCACCTTTAACTAACTAAACAGGGCTGGGTATTAACAAATCCTGAAAGGTAGTTTATTAACAAACTCCAGAAAAGATCATTAAAAGTTTGTTAAAGTTTAAACGTGAAGACATGAACAGATATGTAATGGCTTTAGAACGATCCTAGCCCTGGAGGTAAACATACCTGCAGGCTGCAGGTGACCCTGAACACACCGTGCTCTGTTCGTTTCATGCTGCACAATCACAACTGTGATGAATCAGTCAGCATCCCTGTGATCCTTAACAAGTATCAAAGTGAGATTTTGATATTATAGGCCCTACAATTTCTGGTTATTATTTTTATTATTTCATTTTGTGAACGTGCTCTGAACTGATGTCCCCAATGCATTTAGTTTCTCCAGGGCACCTTTTTTCTCAAGTTGTCATGCCAAATTCAACTCTAAATCCACATTTTATAGGTGATATCTTTTTTTAAACAAATGCAAGTTTCCTCCCCGATGAGAAGGCAGTTATGTTGGTTAATGTTTACTGAATATATCAGTTGTTCAAATTCAATAAAACGTATTAACGGTGTATACTTGATTGTATTTAGTTGCAGTAATTGTATTATTTTGTACTTATAGTGGTAAAAAGTCATTCAATTTATACTTAAAACATGTGCAGATACCCTGGTGAGTGTATATTGTATTATAGAATTAAAAAGGTGGTATTGCATCTTTTAAAGAGGACTACTATCAAAATGGCTTAAGGATTTTTTTCACTTAAGTGCTGTCAGTGTTCCAGGTACACGGCATCAATGTGACTTTGTGTTTTTGTGATTGCTTTTAGAAAACTATCACCAAAATGTTGCCCCTGCTGAATATTTTTTTCTGATTTCAGGATAGTAAACAGGCTGTTGTTGGACAATATGTATATATGTTGTTACCCTAATTATGCTGTTTTATTAAAGACAAAAACGGAAAAAAAGCAGGAATTCATGAAAGTGACTAAAACCAGCAATATGACATTAATTAAGTGATTTCAAAAGAGCTATTTGATGTTTGTCATCATGATTTAGAAACCATGATTCCAGGATGTTAAATCCCAGTTCAAACCTGGCCTTTCCCATGTGATCCACATTTATTTAGAGAGAGCAGTGGGAACTTTGTGTGACAATTACCATGTCACAAAGCTTTGAATTTCTACCTCATGCACCATAGTAACTTCTGTCAGACTAAAGCCTGGCGTGGCTATCATTAAACAAAAACTGTAATTGTTTATTGTGTGCAGAAACCCTTGGAGGGGTTCAGGTCAATGAGATATCCGATGACATTCTGCCTATGTTGCATGAGGGATTTTCTAAACTTGATTGGAGTACAGCATACTAGATACATGACCCAGACACATTCACGTTCGTATCTCATGCTATGACTACAGTTGATATTATATACCATAATAACACAGTCGGGATGCCTGCAGGCTGTTTGATGTTTCCACGGTTTGGACGCACAGCAGACACTTTAGCTCGAGTACAGAGAACACACTCACCTCCTCAGATAGTAAATGTAGGCTACAGGCAGATTACTGTATGCCCTACAAGGACAGGGAGACTGATAACGTATCTGTCGAGTGAAAGATAGCAGCTAATAAACAATCGAGTGCAAAGTAACAATTTGTCAAGTTTTGATTGCTTGTTAGAAGGTTGTTTGATTGATTAGATATTGATAATCAATACAGACATACCTTAAATGATTGACCGAAGGGAAAATCCACCCTAAAATACTTTAGATTCTTAACAGCGCATTGGGTTGGTTGTGTTATTTGCATGCTTTTTTTTTTACCTTTTTACTTATTTTCTTATGTTGCTCTTATCCATAGGAGATAAATAAATGTTAGATTGAGATATTTAATGTGCATCTTTAAGGGATTTTGATAATTAAAATGAATTCAGTGATCTAAAACAGAACAGGCAGAGTCTGAATTTAACATCCAAACTTGGAACAAGTCAAGATCAGTAACCAGTCCTGAATGAATCAAACTACAAGTAGAAGTACTGTATAGTTGATATTGTTGTCAATGTCATAGAAAACAAAATGCCCTTTTGCCTGATTATAGGTAGACTTATAATAAAAAAAAGAAAAAAAAAAGAAAAAAAGAATTACTCTGATTTACGCCGTTTAATTGTCAGAGAAGCATCAAATATTTGACCTTAACCCTAACACCTGCGTTTTCTTTTGCATTTTGTGCAATTCAATTCCTTAATTGATGCTTTGTGTTGCAAAGTACAAAACAAGATCAGTTGCCTGCAGAGTAAACACACATGTACATATTTAGCCTCATCACTGAGTTTGTAGTCATATTGATTATTTGTTGGTTTCCTGTTAAAGCCGTTTCATGCACACATTATTAAAATATGTGATGGAATAATCCTTTACTTATGCAGTGATGCAAATGTATCGCTTTTCGGCGCCTCCCACTTTTTTAACGCTGATTTGGGTGACTTGTGTAATTTGTGGAGAACCGAAGAGTTTTTGTTTTGGGGGTGGGGGGGGGGGGGGGGGGAGTCCGTCCGTCAGTCCGACTGAATAACCGTGCACGTGCATGCATACGCGAGTCATGGTAAAATATCTGGATTAAGAGGTTGCTTTTTCTTTGCACAGCATGAAAGAAAGGCCAAATGAATGGGCTGTGATTTTAGTATTTTTAAGCAGAGGTTGAGTTCAATAATTTGTACGGCCCTCGGAGGATGTTGTAAAAATTGAAAGGAAAAAGGTTCCCCACCCCTGGTGTAAATAATAATAAAAACCCTTGATTTATTACTTAACATCTCTGTCTCCTATTGATCTGAGTATATTATAAAGAATAGCCAGTTAATTGAAGCATTATAGCACAGGCCTTTGTCAGATGGTATATTACGCTGTTTTTTTTCTGCTTCGAATAGTTCTCTCTTTTTTCACCATACGTGTGTTTGCATCCCTGTTATGGTATCCTATATTGCTTAAGGAATATAATACTCAGTGAAGAGTTTGTTTTATCCCCAGCTAATACACTATTTTTTGCAACCATTTTTGCCCTTGTCGTTTCCTTCTTTTACTGTGTTAAGTTCAGTGTAGAAATACAACTCTGGAGCAGACATGTGTGGGCGTCAGGCAGAGTGGAGTTTGGCCTGTTATGTCCATGATTGTTCCATAGGTGGCAATGGAGGAAGTAGGAAGGGCAGTATTAGCAGGAGAGCTGCTGAAGTCCAGAGTTGAACTGCTGTGGAATCATGGTGTTGTTTTAAAACGCTTTACAAGACGACCCAGAGCGGGAAGAGTGACGCATCAAAGTTAAACTATGATAAGGTGTGTTTGAGTAATCAATCAGATTACATTGACCATGATTTATTAAAAATACAATTTCTGTAGTGACAGAAAAAACATCTGATGGCATTTTGAATAACATTTTGGACTTTAAAGAAGTTAACAAGTTCAGTTTTGGAGTAAATAAAGCAGATAGCGTCAGTATGTTCTGAAATTAACATATAAAACAAGAGCTTTAACTTTATTTCTAGAATAATTGTAGTTTGTGTGGTCAAAAAATCTTCCAACTAAAGACAGCATTGTTTTTTTCTTTCTTCAAAAAGTATTGATCAGGGAGTTGTTTGTTTACACATAATCTGCACATGTTAATCAGAAACTCTAATAGGCACTTCTCGGATTGTTGCTAAGAGATTTTGCCTCCTGATTTTTCTTTGTTAAATTTCAAAACAAGACACTTATAAACTAAATGGAATAATATGTACAACATGAAGATTAGTGTGGCATTATGCAGAGAATGTATACTCGTGGACGGGACACTCAATCCCCACCAGCTGGAGGAATACTGTCCTGGGTGTCCCCCTGCCACTCTGCTTAGCCCATGCTGTCCAGTCAACTTTGACCTAGAGTGGACTAAGTTGGGTTAGAAAACATTACTGAAGGTATTAATGACATAATCACATCAAATGCATATATCACTCAAATTTAGTTGATTATTGGACACAGATACAACATTTAATTACTAGCTAATTAATTAATAACTAATTAATTAATAGCTTGCACATTTTTTTGTTATTGTTGTTTTTTATATATATTTTTTTTATGTCTTGTAATTGCACTGTAGAGGAACCTGCGATCTAAGTTTTTCATACAATAAATAACTACAATGTAGTTGTGTATATGTTATGATAATACAACTTGTATCTAATAAAACAGAAAGTAATTCTTTACATGCAAGTAATCAACACTCAAGAAAACAAGTGTTGAACTCTAGTTAATGCCGGTTTCAGATAATAAATATTTCTCTGAGCCAACACCAGAGGCCTGTACTACGAAGCCGGATTTTCCTAACCTGGATATGTTTGAGTTAGCCGGTTGACTAAATCCAAAAAAACCCGGTCCTACGACACTGGTTATCAAGTGGATCGCTCAAGCCAGCCGTGTCCTATCTAGTTAGGTGCGCGTTCACATAAAAGGGGTGGTATTTGGAGTGTTCGACCAATCACAAACATGGACAAGCGTACTGACAGCGCAGAGCGTCATATATTTCCTGAATGAAAAGTCAACTAATATTAGACAAATATGAAGATGTTAAACTTTAAACATCCATGACTTAAACACTTTATCCAGGATAAAAGCCACATAGTTGCACCTGCAAGGTGAATACTGCTGGTAAAAGAAAAAGCGGTTGAATACGTTCATTAACAGTTTTATGATATCACTGCCCCGTCTAAGACACTAGTGCAGGGGTCTCAAACTCAAGGCCCGAGGGCCAAATCCGGCCCGCGACTTCATTTTATGTGGCCCCGCAAGAGCTTGCAAAGAATATAATACGTTTATTATACGGTTACATGCCACTTTACAGAATCAGGTTGCCCATAAACTACATGTCCCACAATGCATCTCGTTTTGTGACATGCACACTGAAGAGACTTGCAACTATTTGCCCTGGACTTCTGCTTTCAGACGTAGTTAATTACTAAGTTATTATCCTATCCGATAATAATCCAATTCAGAGGCAATAATGTCATATAATACATTATTTTATATATATATTATATATTTATATAGTTACAACCGGCCCTTTGAGTGCATCCTTTATGCAAATGTGGCCCGCGATGAAATTGAGTTTGACACCCCTGCACTAGTGGATCTGACTTTAATTACATTTGACTCGAGTGTTTCGTCAACTTAATGTGTTGCTTAAAATAATACATAATACTGTATACTGCATACAGTATGTGACACTCTAAGTGTTGCACGCCAGATACGGCTCAAGAAGCTGACTCAGATAAGGAAATATATGATACATTATGATGTGATATCATGTGATATGAATGATAATGGGACACATCGCCGTCTGCACTCACAGTGCCGCGGACTGTAGGCTACGTAATGTTACTTTGATCCGGTTACTTATGTCGTGGCAGATATTTAAGTAAGCTTCCTTAACGCTAATGTTATAATAGTCAGATTGCTCTGAAGATGGGAGGTGATATTCTATTCATTTTCACGTTCACACGGTCGGTGATTTTGGCCGGCCGTCTTTCCTGCAACAGCAGTTTAAACTGTATTTCCTTTCTCCTCCTGTCATATGAATTGATCGCTTTAAACTCCGCACATTGAGCTCTGATTGGTCAGCAGGCAGTGCTTTTATCCTGGAACCTATCCTGCTCCGGAGGCTAGCCGTTCAGAATAAGTTATCTAGCCCGCTAAAAAGTGAACCAGCTTCGTAGGACCGGAAACCCCTGAAGTTAGCTTGCTAAACGAAAATCTTGATTCGTAGTATAGGCCCCAGGCCTCAGAAAAGGCGACTACACTTTTCTTTTATTATGTAAGTTTACACATTTTAGTTTACTCTCACAAACAAGGAGATTTTGCTATCTACTGTTAATTACACAAACAATAATATTTTCATTCATTAGTTGTAATTTTTTTTGGATTGCCCGGGGCCGTTCAATAAGTTCATACCTTTTTATCTAAATGTGAAATAAATGCATTGCAGACACACTGAAGATGTGCTTAAACTAACACAGAAAACGCACTTACTAACAGTATAACAATGTTTAATGTACGTTCAAAAATACTCAAGTCAAATTTCGATTGCTATCAAGAAAGGACACTAAAGAAAACAAAGATTTATGCAATCTGTCCAATCCAAATAATCCAGAGATTTAAATCTTCAAAATTGACCCAAAGTCTATCAAGAACAAATATGGACATTTCCTGGTTTAAACTGCAATTATTGATCGTGAAATGTTAGAAATTGACTCAGCATCCTCAATAACGCCCACAACCACTTCAACATTGTCCAAATCGGCAAAGCCATTTTTAAACTATTGTCCCTGAACGCTATATTGGTAAATCATGGTAACTAACCCAATGCTTTTTCCTCACTTTATCTGCAGTTGTAATCGCAGACTCTATGCATTACATTAATGCACACAATGTTGACAATATCTGTTTTTTTTACTGCACATATTTTATTCCATTCTATTTCAATGTAAATACAATATAATAAAATATTTTATTTTACTATATTTTTTATTATCTTTAATGTTATTATAGTTTTCTTAAAATAGTTCTCTATCTGTGTTTTGAACTTTTGTTTTACTTTTATGTATGCACCACGACACCAAGTCAAATTCCTCGTAGTTGTCAACCTACCTGGTAGTAAACCCGTTTCTGATTCTGATTCTGATGTAAATGTCCCCGTTGCTAGACAAATAAAGGATCTCTGATTTCTGCCCTACATATGAAGGTTAGCATCTGGCCGTTTCTATGTGTATCATAAAACTTTGGTGAACTCGACATTTCCGGACTCTATGAGCTGGCAACTAGACTTTAAGATTAGGACGAACCTGTATGGAGTCATCTCGGAAAGCAGTGGGGGGGGGCTCCCACACGCCGTCCTGCTACGGGCTTCTGTGTGTTGTCACTTAAGTAAAGCCGGCGTAATCCTGTAAGGGCGGATGAGTAGACAGACATGTGATGCCCCACTTGTTTCTTAGATGGAGGGTGGTGGAGAGGGGGCTGGCAGGCATTACCAGCCAGATGGAGAGGCTTTGTAGTGTGTGGGCGTGTGGCTGATTAGACACAACACTAACAGATACCTTTTCAGATTCCTACTTCCACTTCAATTAAAACACCTTGATTCAGAGTCGTACGGTGTGGATATATCTCAAAGTTTTAATTTGTCAACTTTTCTTTTTTTTGTGCATTGCCAGCGCCAGTCCCTTTGGTCAACACGCTCTATTAGCAGAGACTTCCTGTCCTGTCCCTAACCCCCCCACCTCCAGATTAAATCAATTACATCCTACCTATCGACTGCGCACTTTGCCCTCCTCAAGGACGACCCACATTCTCACACTTGAGGGTAGTTTAGTCACAGGGGAGCAGATCTCAGAGCTGCCAGGCAGTCCCATAGCGTGTCTGTCAATGAGTCTGTAACGGGTGGAGATGAGCGCCACCAGCAGCACCAGACTGAACCCAAATCCAAATTTACTGTATCCGAACGAGCCGAGGAACTATGGCGCCACGTTGTCTCAGGAGGAGAAGTGTGAACAGTCTTTCTTCCTCTTTTACTACTACAGGATGGAGGATGAGGCGGTGCTGGACCGGGGGGCGTCCTTACTCAAGCACATCTGTGACGAGGAGGAGGTAGAGGGTAAGTTATCCTGTTCCTTTGCATTCAAATGTCTCTAAATGTGATTAGAAGAGGTTTTATTTGACCTACCAAATAATGTAAACCACAAAACAATAGTAACACAACTCGCAAAAAACAACAAAGGTGGTGCATTATAAAAACTTTACCAAGGTTTTAGCCTCCTACTGAAATATTTGTTTAGTACCTTAAAGAAGTTCCTCAGACATAACTGAGTCTGCTTAACAAAAAGTACGACCTTAAGCTAAGCAATTATTTACATTTCTGACGCTTCTTTTTATTTTAAACAACTCACCTCGTCTGAATTGATTTTAGAAGCATTCATTGACATAAACAGGAAGGACCTTATCTAGCGTTTTTTAAGAGTGCCACATTTCAGGCCCTTCCTGCACGTACACCGTGACGCTCACCTGCTAACGAGCTGGCATGAGAGAGATGTAGAACACGGAGCATGACACCCTGTGTTTACCTCACTAATCCCCGTAAATACCCTCAGGACAACAAAGAGGAAACAACTGCCGGTATGCTCAAATGTCTTCAAAGATTTCCTCCTGATAAAATGGCAATTGTATTGTATTGGCATCTTTATAAATTGATTAATGCCACCAGAAAATAGACAGTAGCATTATTCAGTAAAGTATAGATCTCTATTCGACAAATGAGTGATGAGACAATGATATGTTTCTCCCTTTTTTATAAATGACACAACCAGATAAGGCATATATATCTGTGGTGCATGATATCAAGACAATCTAATTTCACAATCTTTTTGACCAAATACTTTGATATCAGTATTGTGTCGATATTGTAGGGTTGACCATTTATGCTTACACAAAGTATTTACACAATGAGAATCTTGTTAAATAATCACCAGTAATGTGGATTTGATGACTAAGCAGGCAAAGGCCAATAATAGAAATGCTAGAACAGTCTGGTAAGTTAATGAAAGAACATTGCTTTACTGAGACATGCAGCCTTTAAAACCACCAAAGGAAGCACTTACCATATCCAACATTTAAGAAATAACATTTCACATCATGATATTGATATTATATCGATATATTGCCCTATCCTTAAATAGATTTGTAATTTTTTGTAGTAACTTTATTACTTCAAAAATGTTTTATGGCAGTGTTTTGGAGTGACAGCTTTTCTTCCATTTTTATTTATTTGTTATGCCCAAAACTCAGCTCATTACAATTTCAGTAGCCCTCAAAGTCCCCTCTCATTATGCTTCTTGTTACTTAGGAGCAGGGCTAGATTTTCTTTTTGGGTAATCGTCCAGCAGGTTAAAGGGCCTGGCATAGTGACAGTTTTACCACCAAAGAACTTCATGGTTTGTTTTGTTTTTTGACTGAAGTAGTCAATGGTTACACACCATACTGTTTGTCTTTTTTGGCAAGGATAAAACCCAGGACAAAATTAGCACAAAAAGTTGAATTCCCTCTGAATGACAATGTTTGTTGTTTACTAAAACATCAGTTCTGTCCGGTCCCATTAATTATTAGATTACACTTTATAAGCAAGCTTGAACGCCTGGCAACTTGTTTATGCACTGTATAGAAATACATGTTAAGCATTGGCTGTTTAAAAGAGTTTTCAATGCAATGGAAAGGTTTTTTAACTTTTTGTAGTTCATTAAATGGGCTAAAACATGCAAAACCACTTGTAAAAAAACTTTAAATTAACTCAGTTATCTACAAGCTTGAAATACATATAACAGGGTCAACATTGGAATTTGCACATCAGTCCCTCATGCTGGAGGACAACATTTTGTCAGGTGTCACCTCAGCTTGAACCCTGCCTCAGCCTCTCTAACTTCCTGTTCCTAACCAGCATCTCAGCTGTGACTGCATGTGTCCTTGACTGCTGACTAATTCTCTTTTTGGAGTCTTCACTGAGTTCAGTCTCCTCCCCACTGCTCGCTCAGAGCCCACAGCTTGACTGATAATAAGAACAATAAGAAGTAAGATAGCTTGTAATTTCACACATTGTACAAGATAAAAGTCTGGAGGATCCTTAGCTCACTTAATTATCTTTTTCTGACACTGATTAGTTTGTGGTTTCACTCAAGCCAAGATGGATCATTTACTTACGCATGCAAATAAGAACTCTGGTGTGACCTTAGGTTACATGATTGTACTCCAGTGATGTAATTCAAAGTTTCATGTTGTAGCTGAGTCAGAAGTACAAAAAAAGAGGTATAGCTAATTCGGACAATAAACTGTCTCCCCCCCACTGATCCAAAAGTATATTTTTAAAGCCATTTAGCATTAGCATGCTGCTAGTGCTGCGTGGCCGTATGCCATCCTCCCCACTGGTCTGGTCAGGTCCCAGCGGCGCGGTTACTGGGGAAACTGGCGGTGGTGTTGCCTCTCCTCAGAAATCTAGTGAGCTAAACAAACCTCCCAGCATACACCAGATTTTAATTCATTCAGTGTGTGCTTACAGGCAGCTCCAAAAGAAGTTCTTCTTCCAAGCAAAAAAAAGAAGAGGAAGTTGCCTCACAAAGCTGCTCTGGCAGTGTGCAAATCTTCCTTTCGAGCTCCTTGACTCGACTATTTTTTATTCTTTCTCCGTCACCCTCCTCTCTTTCTCTTACCTCCTTTCTTGCCTGTACAAGCATCTTCATGCTCTGCTTTATTGCTCATCTATCAGCCCGAATAGCAGCGCCGTCTTTCTTTCTGTCTGTCTATGTCTCTTTTCTCTTTTGTTGTTGCTGTCCAGCCATCTGCTTCTCTTGTAATGCCCACTTTCTGTATGTTAAGTCTGATCGCTTCATTGTTCGACTCTTACTTAATGAACCACTGTGAAGGTAAAATGTAACAATATGTTACGTTTTTTTAATTCCATATGTTCTCCTCTTATATATCCTAACTATCTATAGCTATATCCTCATAAAGATAATCAGATTTCTTATGCTGTACTCGACAAAGCCCTTAGGAAGTGAGCCAGGCATCAAAGCACATTTTCTTAGTGGCCTAACGGTGCTACTCCAGCTGTCATGTCAGTACGTGATGTCATTTTATATGCCCAAAACACCTTATCCCCATTTGTTTACATTGGCAAGAAAATGTCTGTAAATCAGTTGCTGATTGCTTTTTGCTATATCAGCTACTCAGGTGGAACACTTGAACAACCCTTCTTCAAATAATTTGTTCCTAAAAGTTATTAAATGTGCTAAAGATTGATGCTCCAAAACCCAAATGTAATGTAAGCCTGGTTTCCACTCCATTTCAGTTTGGTACACAAAATGACACATGCCTTGACTTGACATGCAGACTTAGTGTGGCATGTTAACAATGTCCCACGTGTACTCGCAGCATTGTAAAAATACAGACAAAAAGATTTTTCACATGGGATTTTTCACAGGGAAAAGTTCCTCTAATAAACTGTCTGAGCTTCAGCATCAAGCTTGCAGTCTCATTGGTCACTCACACTTTCCTCCATCTTGGCAACTCTTAATTAGCAGGATGTTGCCAGCTCAAAATATTGTGCAGTATCTAGGGTTGCAAAATTCCGGGAATTTTCAAAGATGGAAACTTTCCACGAGAATTAACGGGAATTAACGGGAATTAACGGGAATAAACGTGAATTTATGGGAATAAACTGGGAATTTTCAAAATTGAAGGTTGGCTCTTCATAGGGAACTTAAATATAGTTGGGGAAAGTATATTTTAGCATAATCTTGACTAAAACAAACAGATGCCATTCAAGTACACTTGAATATCCATGCCATAGCACACTGCTTACTGCATGGCTATTGAGACCACACAAAGGTTCGCAACAGGCTCACAGGTGAGAGTGGAAAAACTGGTTGGCATTCGGGCAAACCTAAGGCTCTTTGAGCCTGACACAGAGCCATCCTCAACAAGGCTGGACAGTGACACTGAAGAGGAAGACTCAGAGTTGGATGTTGATGAGGCCCAGGAAGAGCCCGTTGACTGAAAGGGTTTAGCAAAAATGCAGAGGATTGCTTGAAGGAAGATTTGCATGTTTAATGGGACTTTTTGGAGGGAGAAGGGCTCTTTTCATTTAACATTTTGAATGGGACTTTGTGGGGATTTTTGGATGGGGGGTGCATTTTTGTTCATTTTTTAATGAGTGGGGTTGGAGGGGATGAGTAACATTTAACTCAACATTCCTGTTTTCGTTCTTCAATGAAACAAATAATTGTTCAATAAAATAATGAAAACTCTGTTCTACTTATTTATATATTAATATTTTTTTAAAGAAAATCTGTTGAAATGTCATGTTTTTTTGTTTAATTTTGCATCGAATATTTCCAAAATTCCCCAGCTTAACTTCCCATGGAAACTTTCCGGAAACTTTCCGGAAATTTACCGGAAAGTTTCCGCCCCTTTGCAACCCTAGCAGCATCCCACATTTTTTCTTTCACACTGGAAAAGTGTCAGGATGTGCAGTATTCTCTTGGAAAAAATTTCCCTTGTTCCTGATATTTGTAATGTTTTAATATTTTTATGAAAATGGGCAAAATAACAAAAAACATCACAGAATCATAAAAAAAATCTCCACAATTCCCCCAAAAATCTCAACTTGGAGTTTTGTTTCTAGGTGAATGTATGTTTTGATGCCGTCAGGGTTTTAGCTGTGTACGATTGATCTAGTGTTTTTATGTTATCCCATAAACATTGGATGGCGTCTTTGTTGAACCAAAAGCCAAGTCTGCAGCCCAGTGGTGTGGGTGATGCGGGTCTGTCTCCAACTGTTTTCTTTGGGATAGTTCCTCTTAATCTGTCCTGTGTGACGGAGAAAAGTTACCGAAAAAGACTGATTGCGGAAGTTATAGTAAAATAATCACCAAATATTTGTTCATACACATCTTTTATATATATTTCATGGCTTGAAATGCATTTAAATCGCATCAGCTGATGCATGCACACATGTATTCATTTAGGTTCATATATTTTGATAATGTATTTAACTTTTGTATTTTATAAGATGTAAGAAGCAAATCAAAATACAAAATGTTTTATCGCCATTAGAAATCAGCAACTAGCCACGCTGCTCTCTTAAAATCTTATTTTTATGATTTATTTTCAGATATCTTGGAGAATTAGTTCTCATTTGTCAATGGTATAAGCAAACTACAAACTGATGTCTGATATCTAGTACAGTATTTAACAACTAATCAATATCTGCTCAGTGTTTTGGTTTCATTTACATGAAAACCACATTGAATTCTATGACTTACAATATCCCTTCCCATTTTAGGTGAAACAGCTCAAACCTTTTTAGATCTGTCATGTCTCTAATACAATAGCATAGCTTTGTATCCACTTTGGTGTCAGTGAATGTAAATGAACCCTAAAAGAACAGGCATTGTGTAAACATAGAATAATGACTGTTGTTGTTCTTCAAGAGAAATCATTGTTTGTTGTGTCGAGGGTTTCAGCCACTTCCTGGTTGAGTCATGTGCAGTGCTTGGCTCAGCATTACCCGACGTTTTGACACTGATAGTATAGAGCCTTTTGTTTCAGCAGGACGTTTGATGTTTACCCTGAAAGGTTGCTTTTAATAGCCTTCCTCTACTTCGGAAGGCAACCTTGTGGCACCAAAAACGTGGTCAAGAATGTCAGTTTCAATACAGTCTCTGGGTAACTGTATTGTTGAAAGAAAAGTATACAGAAATCATCAAGAGTTATTGATTTATTATTATTTACTTGAACTACAGTATGACATTACTTAAACTAATAAAGAGCAAGCATTAGTCAGCTTACAAAGTGTATACTACAATGGATATTTATATAAACATATACCCTAAAAAGATGTGTGTTTTATCTTATTGCTAAGAGCATCTATCTAAAAGTTTCAATGTTATTGAAAGTGAAACCTAATTAGTGTATCTGAGTTCTTTCTTGGTCCATGCTACTCCCTTCCACCGAGTTCTGTGAAAATTGGGCCTTTATTTTTCCCATAAACCTATTGACAAACACATCGCACTTCTATTGGCTAGCGTTCTGACACATTGTATGTGATAGGCTAAGGGGCGGGACATCTCTAAGTGGTTGACCAATCACAACAGAGCCGGCCAGCTAACCAATCAGATCAGACTGGGCTCTGGTTTTCAGACAGAGGGTGAAAGCGGTGCTGCAGCACAGGCAGTATGAGAAAAATAAAGAGCTTCTTGAACATTAAAGCATGGAGATATGTCACAATAGAGGCACTATATACAAATACGAACCTGAAAATGAGCATAATAGTACTCCTTTAAAAACACCAAATAATAAAGTGGCATAAATATCAGAAATGTTTCAAACCATTCCTGTTGCACAATCCACGTGTTTCCTGTCTATTATCATATGCAGCATTTTCCAAGCAATAACTGACCATTCTAACAAAGTCAGCAAGTTTAAAGGTGGGGTAAGTTTGAGAAACCGGCTCGAGATACACTTTTTGTTATATTCCATGGAATGCTCTTAACATCCCGATAGCAATGAATATCTTAAGTGCTTCTCAAAGAATCCATAAAAAAATGTCATCTGTGGAAGCCGTAGTACTGTAAAAAGCATGACCAATCATTTTAGCCGGCCCGACTAAAATAACTGGATGGCCTACCTGCCTGTCAGCCTTCCATCTGTGCACAAACTTATCTCGTGCCCTCGTTGGTCATGTGCGCGTTCGTGTGTGTTGGACCAAGAGGAGGCTCTGTAAGGAAGTGGCAGATTTTCTCCGGTTGTGTATTTTCAAATTCTAGCGCACTCGAGCTGGTTTCTCCAAAATTACCTACCCCACCTTTAAGGGGAGCTTCAGATCTTTAATGTTGTTGTAACAGAAAAAGGTTTGCAGTATGGTTCATTGCTGTGTAAACACACGTACATACAGTAATGTATCACTCAGGTATGAGTATATTAAATTGCACCTGAAATTCCAGACTAGCAAAGAATGTAATAAGTTAGGAAGAAAATCCATCTAAATGGTATGTTATCAACAAACAGTCTGGTCTGCTTGGCATTGTTGACCCTAAACCACCAAACTACATGTAAAACTGTCCTGTTGGTATTGTGCCAAAATAAATACATAACAGGGATGTAGTCATGCATGCAGTTATGGCGTTTTCACTGCTACGTCTTACTTATTTTTCTGTGCAAATATTTGTTTTGACAGTGTACTGCAACCTCTATAACCCTGCTCCTCTATGCTGACTTTAGAACGTGAGAATGTTCCCTGTTTGACTGAATTGAGAAGTGGTCATGATTGGGTTCAGGTCATGTTGTATTTTATGTGTTTTGCAGCATAGTTATCACATTGTGATTTTCTAATTATTCTATCTTTGCACTTCCTTATAGGTGTTTTGGTTATGTATTTAGTACATATTTAAGATGTCAACTGTGAAGCCTAGATGCATTACAGCAATCTGGATTTGTCAGGATATAGTGTCAGATAATTTATCAGCTGTTCTGTTTTTGTTGCAGGTCACCACACCGTTTACATTGGCGTGCACGTGCCCAAGAGCTATCGGCGTCGGAGGCGTCACCGTCGGAAAACCGGCCACAAGGACAGAAAGGAGAGGTTGACGGAGAACACCTCGGACAAGTCGGACACAGACAACAACGATGAGCCCAGCAACAGCATCCTCAAACCTCTCAGTAAGTCTTGATGGACGTCCTGTCGGGGCGGATTAGGGCTCATGTCGCTCTTTTCTGAAGGATGCTCTCTTTTCCAGAATAAATGCCCCTGTAACTCTACATGAAAAGTTGCTGAGTCCACTTAGTGGCCAGAAATAGCTGTGCGTGTCCTGCTGAGTTAAGAGTGCGTTTCAGTCAGAATTTTCATTGGAAGTAATGGCTACTCGGATATAATTGTACTAGTGCTGATATGGGTGTCTTGAGGATTGTGTGTAGGAGCATGCTGTGCTTTTGTCCTTGGTTGTAGACATACGTGTATCACTCTTAGAGTGCATGCCCATGTGTGGGGTTCAATTTGTGTTAATGCTTACGTTGGCTGGAGCGTCCTTTGTCCTTTATAGAGTATAAAGTGCGATATGCCCTCAGGCGGACCCTCGGACAAAGAGCTCCAACCAGTTTGAGGAAAACTGAGGAAGAAAGGGAAGAAGAAAGGTTACATCCATTGGGTGACATCTTTCATGAATTGGAAGGGGTTAAAATATAATTTACAACAAGATATATATTATGTGTCGTTGCAGGTTCGGCCCCATTGTATCACAATTGCTGTCTGTCTGGAGGGCGGTAGAGAAACTATGTGGCCGCCCCTATGCATGGTATCCATGTTCCCCATTATTTAACAATGCCAGATTGTTGATTGGGGGCCATCCCATTCAGTTTCCTCAGTGGAAAACTGGGGAACGTCTATGGAGATGAAGGTCTGCGTTCGTTTCAGGAGCTGTGTACAGAATTTGATTTACCTCGTTCCTCCTTTTTCTTTTATTTACAGTTGAGGTCGGCTTTAAGGGCTAACGGTGTTTCATTGCAAAGTCCTCTATCACCACACCCGCTGCGTAACATTCTACACTCCACTAGAGGTACAAGTGGCCTTGTTTCCAAACTTTACTCCTTCATTTCACAACACGCTTATAGACCCCTGGCGTTAGAGGCGATATGGAGGGCCGATATCCCAGATCTGGATCCAGAGTTTGATTGGGATGAAGTCTGGTCCAATATACTAATAGCTTCTAGGAATCCTGACCACCAGCACATACATTATCATTTCACTCATAGAGTTTACCTTACGCCTAGGAAGCTTTGTTTAATGAAAATAATTGCTGATCCAAATTGCACTCTATGTGACGTAGAGGCTATTGGTACTTATCTACATATGTTCTGGGAATGTCCGCCAGTGGCCAGATTCTGGGAGATGGTTGCCTCTAACCTTTCGGCGATATTTGAGACTAACGCGCCTCATTCTCCTGTTACACTTATCCTAAACGACCTGTCCAACCTGGGTTTAACCCTGACCAAAAGGTGAGCACTATTAGCCGAGCTTACAGCAGCAACAAAAATTGGTTGCGACTCGCTGGAAGCCTCCCCATTCCCTCTCACGTAAGGTCTGGGTTCTAACATATCTAGACATAACGTATCTAGAAATATCGACAGCCCGGGTACATGGGGCGAAGGAGTCAACAATAGAGATGTGGACTTCGCTCATTGTGAACCTCAAAAACATATTAGGATAACTATCTAATGGGGATGGTGATCTGAATGGGGGGGGGGGGGACGTCACTGGGTTTTGTTTGTTTCTTTAGATTTGTTTTGTGCTGTCTTGTACTGTATTGCATTTGATGTTATTGATTGTACCATTTGTTTAATAAATAAAAAAAACAAGATATATATTATTAAATAAATAATGTTAATAATATAAAATAATCATAATGGGCGTGCACTGTAGAAAATAATAATAATTTCAATAATCATTTACATTTTCCGAATTCCTCTCGTGAGGAAAATAAAAAAATAAACCACTATGTGATTGTTACACTTCGCTTGACGTGGGGGATTTATTTCAGGACATAAATCCAATCACTGAATAGATTACAGCCCATCTGGTGTTGCTACTGACTGTGATAATGCATATTAAGCAAAAACTGTGTCTATATCCAAGATATAGATCTAACTGGAGTTGCACCGCTCTGTGAGGAGCCTTCAAAGCAACTGAAGAAGGTATTACAGATGTTATTTAGTTGTTTCAGATATCATCCGGCTAGCTGTTTAGAATGAAATGCATGAGAAGCTGTGTAATCTGAGCTTTCCTGTCATTAATTCTTATATCCCTACATTCGGGTTTAGTATTACCGTGTCATACAGTGCGTGTTATCACTGAAAGCCAAGCAGTTCCTACTAATGACCCATTCTGATCATTTCCGTGAACTTAATCATTTCTAGCGTCCTGAAGATAGAGCTTAAGTTACTGTAGCAGAGATTTCCTCTTTTCTTTTGTTTACCATTGGTTTCACAACCTGTCAGATATATACTGATTTTATTTGTTCGTATGGATATAAGATATATATATATTATATATATATATATATATATATATATATATGTATAAACAGCAATGCAGTAACTCTTTAGCCTTGCCGGCTCATTTGCTCACACTTCCCACACAAGATTAGTATTTTTATTTAAACAGTCAAGGAAAACATTTTGAGGAGTTTTTGGGAGTTTGGTTATTGTGCTTGTAGTTGCGAAGCCGACTTTTATGTTGGGGTCTTAATGCTTGAATGTGTAAGATAAACTGGTAAATGACAGCTTAATTGTTTCTTTCTATTATTGTAAACTGTATAAAGTGTTACAAAAAAGATAAATTCAAAGACTTGGCTAAAGAAAAACCTATTCTAAATCACTCAAATATCCATTGCAATGATTAAGCAACTGATCAATGAAAACAAAATAATCACTTACTATTTGTTACAAAAATAAGTACATTAATTTTTTGACAATTAGCTGTTGTCCACTCGGTAAGGCAAGATCATTAAAGATGTTTAAATCTGGAGCAAAACATGTACAATAAAACCCCTCACACCCACAACTGGTGTAAACAAGGTGATGTCACCTCAAAGTGCTGTCCCATTCAGGTTTATACAATTTCAGCCTCTCGCACCTTAAGGACCCTAAACCCTGAACCCTAAAGGCCTTGGGGGTGGGGCATTCGGCTTGTGCCATCTATTTACATTTTACTCCCTCGCTTTGCCATTACTGATTATGCTTAAAATCCAATCCATCATGGCTGCATCAAGTCTTTACTTGCCTGCCAATGTGTCAAAGGGGAAAAAAAATCGGAACATGTGAAACCCTACACACCTGGGTTTGTTTACAGCAACACTGGTAATTCTCCATTCATGGAAAAATACGACTATGTTGGCTGGGGAATGTGGGCATTGACGTTAATAACAGTCAACACTGTGCTGCTGGCTCTGCTGGCTCTGCTGGTTCATATGGGTGCAGTAGCGTAAACACTGTTTATGTTATGTAGAAATCTGTCATGGACTTAAGGGGTTAATAGATGGTCCAAAGTCCATTTCTTTAAAGTTACTAATATAAAGAGTTGCTGCCTGTACTGGTGAAACTATCAATAGAATAGCAACATGTCTGATTTCCGTTTTCTGATGCATCCAAACACAGCTGTATTAGCAGGACATTTTGACGATTTATTTTATTTTTATTTAACCTTTATTTAACCAGATAAAAACATTGAGATAAAATCTCATTTTCAATTCAACGATAACTCACTGTGATGCAGAAACATTACAAAAAGAGCACATATGTGACTAAGAATCAATTGCGCAACAAAAAATGTATTTCCTGTCTTTTTTGCAGTTCTAGAAAAATGTAATAAAGTCCTTCAAAAGAACATTACCCCTCATAAGCATTGGTCTTAACGTACCGACAGTATGCTGAGAAAGAGTTTTAGTTTAAGAGGGCATACTCTTATTTTCTGGTTCATACTGGTATTTTGGGTTTCTACTGTGAGAAATGTACATACTTGTTCAAATATACCTTCTGTCTCCGATCTCTCAGATCAGGGGGATGGGCGATATATTCTAATGAGCCAAATCTGAATGGTTTGTTGAATCCCATGTTTTGTCAAGCAGGCAGCCAACAAAACCACTGACATGGTTGTCTTCTTCAATCTCTTATTCATTGATTCCCCAAGTTCTTTTCTAAGTGATGATCACTATTCTTCTCAAATATATTCCTTCACTTGGTGTTTTGGTAGGGACAGCGCTCCAAAGTCTCCCATTGGTTGGGTTGACAGTGAAGGCAAGAGCATGGTTTGACTTGATGTTGTTTAGCTTGCAGGTATAGCTGACCTTTCAGGGTCAAAGTAGCGACATTAGCATGCAGCAAGCTATTAGGGAAAGCTAGTGAGCTAGCCTACTACCCTTCAGACGTCATGAATGTCATAGGCATTAAACGTAAAATGGAGGTCATTGCCATTTCGATTTTTAGTAGAGGTTTGATTCAAATCAGTGTTAACAATTATTGCTAAAGAGAAGGTTTTTTTTGTGATCTGGTGACTCCAAAGCAACTCTGCCTTTGTAAAATGTTGGTATGGCAAAAACTGGAATTTGTAAGGCATGGAAAAATTGACAGGCATGCAGTTTACCTAATGTCCTACTGTTATTCACTGCCCTTCCTGTGTTATTCTCTCTGGGAATCATGCCCCCCCCCCGGGGGGACGGCCCTTGTCTGGATTGAAATCCCCTTGTTTGGTCAGATGGACACTGCAGGGACTGAAAGTGCATCCTCCTGGTTACATGTGTGTCCACTGCAGGGACATTTGACCCCTGCTCGTTTTGATGATTATGTTTTTTTCAAAGCTTTTTCCCCCATCCTTTTAGATCCAATGTCCTCTCAAATAGGATTTCAAAGATTACTTAGGAACTCTGTTCTTCTACAAATGGGTTTAATTTCACAAAGTCAGACAGAGCAAGCCATGACTGCCGTGATGTTTGCAGTTTTTTGTAAATGATCTCCAATTGAATGTCTGTTGCTTCACTGGAAGAATACCCGCTTCTCTGGAAATGAATGTCTTGAGATTTATGGAGGGTTTCAAAGTTGATTAGATAAATACAAAGGTCAGGCAAAAAACTTGATTATTTTCCCTTCTTGTTCCTGAAAAGGTGGCATTT